GAAGTAAGAAGAATCAAAGCAGCTGCTGGCCAAGGTCACCCTATCACTTACTGATATCATTTAATTAACTTACTTTTCTGACCTAAGTTCAACAGGATGTAACTAACCACACCTTTTCCCTACTCATCAAAGATTTCTACAAACTTCTATGGGCTTATATGCACACCTGAGAAGGCTCTGTGGGTTGCCTGGGCTAAGGAAAGTCCATGTTACCTATTTTTATTTTTCCTCATGGTATTTATGTATTAATGTACTTAGTAATTTATAATGTTCCTATATACAACGAACAAAATTAAAATCCAGCTATTCCTAGCAGTCAATATAATTGTGAAGTCATTTTACTGATATTTATACTAAAGCTTGCAAAACAGCAGTATTCACTGCCTAATTTTTATGACTTTCGTTTAAATTAGTGCCTCTCTACTGGGGTGATTTATCCTCCCATGTGACATTTGGCAATGCCTGAATACATTTTTGGTTACCACAACAAGGAAAGGAGTGTGACAAGCATATAGTGGGTAGAGGTCAGAGATACTGTTAAACACCCTACAGTGCACAAGACAACCCTACAACAAAGAATTGCCCAGTCCCAAATACCAATAGTGCTAAGATTGACAAACCTTTTTAAAATTTTGAAATAAGTTATTTTTCTCATATTTCTCACTAGTAATTCTCTAACTTCATTTTGTGATGTTTTCCATAGCCAATATCAACTTTAAATGTGACTGATGTTATACTGATTTCTATGAGGAAGTTTACCAAAATTATTTTTTTACAAAATTTTGTTCATTTAAAAAATGATTTAGTTATCCTTGGATCTAGGAACATTATTACATTTAAACTAAGAATCTCCATTTTATATTTTATAAAAGAATCATATGTATTAAAAATCAAACTAAATTATCCTGGACCATGTTTTATGAAAAACAAAATCTGTTATGAACTAATAAAGACTTTGAAATGTAATTTGGTTCAAAAAGTTTAAGATGTCTAAGATTTTTACTCTCAGGAAAACACTAAGTATTTTTCATCCATTTAGGAAAAAAATTCTGAATATATTGCATTAATTTAGCTTTTCCTCTGTTTCATTCCACGTTTTACTGATGTTTCATTCTTTTCTTTAGGATAAATCTAAATGAAAATATATCAATTATTCATATTTGGTAGTTGATTTGAAGGTTTAGAATCACTGCTCCTTTCAAACCATTAGGCAAAATTCTAACTAAGCAGATGGGCTTTAAACATGTTTTACAAAATTTATATTTTACCAAGTAGGAATAATTAGAGCATAACTAATACTATAACCAATATATGTATTTGGAAAGAAGTTTCTCTTCTCTTTTCATAAAACTGTCGTGACAGAGAGTTCCACATCATACACATAAATGCAAAAAGACAACCATTTCCATCTGAATTATTGTCATTTCTTGTATGTAAAATTATCTTTGTTTATAGCACACTTTAATGTCAGATGCATCTCAATTTTCACATGAATCACAACTCATTTGTCTTTCCACAACCTTGAAATGTGTCAGTTTACATATTAATTTCATTGCATATATTTATTCATTATGCTACACTCTTCACATTTTTTAAATGTGCAGTATTTCCCATTGGAAGTTAATGACAAAAATAGATTTCTCAGCATTTTTCTAATATCTATGACCAAAAAGTTAACCTTTTTTGTTTGCTTGTTAATTTGTCATTAAGGTGCTAGAGCAACACTGTTCAATAGTAATATAATACAAGCCACAAATATAATTTAAATTTCCCTACTAGCCATATGAAGTCAAGAAAAATGAGTGAAACTAACATATCATAGCAATATATTTTATTCAACCCACTATATATCCAAAATATTATCATTCTAAAATGTTATCAACATATAAAAAATTATTGAGATTTTTACTTTTTTTCATACTAAGTCTTCAAAATGTGCTTTGTATTTTATACTTACAACATATCTCAATTTACATGCTAAGCATTCATCTTAAGTACCTGATCTGTATTTAGATCCCATAAAATTTTACAGTTAAAGTTGATTACATAAGTTGTTCCAAAGGAACTTGAAAATGTTCCAGTAACTGAATCAAGTGCCAAAGAATCATTTTCCTCAATATTTGCACCCACATTCACAAATAATTGATTTGACTTTCGTGCAGAAGCATACCAATTTTAAAACTGCATCTCAGTTAAATCAATTCACTAATTGTTGTGTTAATTCAGTATTAACCTTGAATTCAAGGTCAAAAACAATTTTAGATTTATCAATATCAACAAAGCCTTCAAATTTTTCTTGTATTTTTGCAGCCAATTTCCATGCTGTCATTTATAAGTAAAATACTTTGCATATTCATTCACATGTCAATCATTATTACTGATTTGTATTATGAAAAGTTTGAATTTTAACATATATGCTTGTACCTGTGTAGTTAGGTCATAAATAAGCTTTCTTCCCAAGATGTCTCCAAATTTCACTCTTACAGATATTAATTTCTAATAACAGTAAATGAATATACTGTATTATTACCACATTTTACAGAGTTTCAGCTAACCCTAGCCTGTGGCAACACTACATTTTATAGGCCTAAGATTAGAGCTTTTTGTGCACTCCCCTTCCCCAACTGAAAGCAGCCACACTTTTTTACATGCAACTTCATATTTGACTGCTTCTGGTGGCAAATTTGCAAACCAAGGAGCCTACATAGTGCCTTCTTCAATTGGGCAAAGTTATGGGCAACATTCACATTAAGTCAATTTGTCTTTCTGATTGGTAATCTATTGTTTTGCATTTCTTTTATTTTTGAAACGTTTACTCTTACCTGAGAAATCTCCACTGTTCAAAACAGAGGGTTTATCCAAACAAGTCTATTAAATCACCAATTTGAATCTGTTTTTATATTTCTTGCCAAGGTGGCCAGGAAGTTCTGGGGCTAAATTAATGCTACTAGGCCCCTCGCTAAACACAGGCCTTCTGGAAAACAGCATATATTTAAGTCTTGGTAAAAATATATTATCTGGGAACTCATTATATTCTATACCTTCTATACAATTACTCTTCCAGGCTTTGTGAACTTTTGGATAAGAATAAATAAGAAAACACAGGTCGATATAAGAGCTTATACATTAATTTTCATAGCAGCATTATTCATAGTAGTCAAAAAAGTAGAAACAACCCAAATGTCCATCAACTGATAAATAAACAAAATGTGGTATATCCACATAGTGGAACATTATTGAGCCATAAACAGGAATGAACACTGATACACACTACAACATGAATGAACCTTGAAATCATTATGCTACTTGAAAGAAGCCAGTCACAAAAGGCCACATAGTGTATGATACCATTTGTATAAAACATCTAGAATAAACAATTCCATAGAGATAGAACATAGATTAGTGGTTGCCAGGAGCTGGAGGAAGGGGAAAATGGGAGTGACTATTAATGAGTATGAGGTTTCCTTTGGGGATGATGAAAATGCTGTGGAATGAAGTAGTGGTGATGTTCAACTTTGTGACTAAATGAAAAGCTGCCGGATTGTACACATTAAATGGGTGAATTTATGGTATGTGGATTATATTTCAATGAATATTATTAATAATTCAATATCATTGATTATATTTCAATGAATATTTCAATGAATATTAAGTATATCTATATATTAAGAATTATTGATCAAATTTTTTTAATATAGTATTTTCTATAGCCTTTACTATCAGAGAATATTCTTGTCCTCAGAACCTCTCACCCTGTCTTTATCAATACACTAGAGGTCTGTTTAACTTACTTTGAGTGGAAGGAATTATTTTTGCATCCTGAATGTTATAACTGGACTAGAAGTCAAAAGGTGGATTTTTCTGTTCCAAAATCTAGTATTTATGAGTTGTGTAACTTTGGATCAAGTCAGGTGCTCAATTTCCTCATCCGTAAAAATGGCAATGTATTTGATGATGTAAGTCAGGCACTTTTTAAAAACATTAATTTCCTTGTATACTTGAATGGAAGGAACCTGATGATACTGAAGGACTCTTCCATTCCTCTCTCCTAGAGAACAGCCAAGTACTGCTGCAGAAAATCACTCAACAGGCCATTGTCCCCAACTTCTAATGGGCACTCAACACTGCCCAGCAATCCAGCTTCACCACTCTCAAAAATCACTCCTATACCCTGCACCTCTCCTTCTACTATTAGTATGTGATGTTGCTTTTTACTTCACAGAGAAAATAGAAACTAAGGGATATCCAGTCTTTTAATATCCCCTTATCTAAATGCATAAACGTGTCTGCATTCCATCTTCCTTCCTTCCTTCTTTCCTTTTACAGAGATGAGGGCCTTACTTTTGCTTTAGGCAATTCTCCCAGTGTGCTTTGAGGCTCATCCTATCCACCTTCTTAGGAAGCTGACACCACTCCTTTTACCTCTCCTCTCTTCTAATGGGTTCTTCCCAACAACTGCTAACCTAGTTCAAGCTTTTCTTATTAACAAAATAAAACATAGAGGATTGCTAGTATTTCCTTTTACTGACTAAAGTATAGCTGCCATTGGGCAAGGGTTGAATCAGTTTATAATTCATTTTGTTGGCCAGTTTTGCTATTAGGTTATTCTTGATTATCTTTTTACAATTTGAAAGTATTTGTATTAATTAAAATTTTATGCATTGTATTTTATTCATACTTTTATGTTTCATTCTTTCAAATTCACATTCAGTGTGATATTTATGTGATGATTTGATTATTTTTTGTCTTTGTTACTAGACTGTAAGTTCACTGAGAACAGGTTCTGTGTCTGTATCCCCGGAGCACATAATAAAAACTCAGTAAATATTTGTTAGAAAAAATGATAGAAGGAATGGAATTCTAAGAGACAGAACAAGCAAAGGACTAAATATTAGTTTGTTTAAACTTAGACTGCTTTATAGATGTTCAATATTGTTAAATGCATTATACATTATGATATCAAAAAATGAGCATTGAAATTTTTTGATGTTTTTATTCAGGCCATGGAAGCAGGTCTCTCAGAGGTGAAAAGTGAGTTACAGTCACGTGATGATCTCTTGAGAATTATAGAAATGGAACGATTGCAATTACACATAGAATTATTAAAAATAGGAGAGTGCCAAAATGCTCAAGGAAATAAAACAAGGTATAATCTTAATATTTGACAATCTGAGAGAACTGTTCAAAACATGATGTTTGAGTGTTTTATTTAAGAGTTTTATGTTTGAAATGGGAATAAGTCTATTTTGTATTAACATGTTAATTAATGGGTAATATTAAATATTAAAAATAAAATTCATAGTTATTTTATCTTCAAAATTAGCTTCTTCACTTACCTAGAAAATTATATCATATTCTGATTTATGAATACTTCTGACACACTGGGTCAGACATGGTGGCTCCCAGCACTTTGGAAGCCTGAGGTGGGAGGATCACTTGAGCCCAGGATTGAGACAAGCCTAAGCAACATAGTAAGACCATGACTCTTCAAAAAAAATTTTTTAATTACCTGGGCATGGGGGCGCACACCTGTAGTCCCATCTACTTGAGAGGTGAGCTAGGAAGGTCGCTTGAGCCTGGGAGGTCAAGACCAGTGAGCTGTGATCATGCCACTGTACTCCAGCCCGGACAATAGAGTGAGATCCTGTCTCAAAAAAAAAAAAAAAGTACAAAAATAGTATAGAGCTGATATTCAATTATGTAAACTCAGAGAAATAAGATTTATTCCATATTTTTAAATGCTTTTCTTTTGATTGCCTATACCTGATGTCAACTTTTTCACTGGTATGTATTGTATTTATTTTGGCCACCACATTCGCCATCTTGTCAGTTCCACTGAGAGTTCTTCTTAAAACAGATTTTTTTTTTCTCTTTTAAAATCAGACAGATACTGTATATTCCATAAACAAAGAAAATGGGAGTGCTGAGGATTGTTAAATGTTTATGCTTGTGAATAGACAGTTTGACTGCTTTAATAGTTCATTGATGCTCTTATTCTCATAAAACTTGAATCTTTCTCAAAATCAGAAAGCTAATGCCAGATCAATGATAGGATTTTAAAAACTGAATAGCCAAATGGTGAGGGATGCTTTATTGAAAAACTGTTATACTGTATTAAAGGCAATAATTATTTCTTCAAAGTTGTGAGACCTGCTAGCATTGCTTTGAGGTCTATGCTTAATAACAAATGGCAAGTTAAGATCCCTAAAATGGCCTGATTCTGTGTCTCACCAAGGATGGTGGCAGAATGCTATTAGCCAGTCTGATTAGCGAATGCTCTGTATACAAGATGTATACCATCATCACTGATTATTAATAAACCTGTTAGATATTTATTACATGTAATGCTGTTCCAGTCTAGTGAGTAATGTCTTCACACAAAGAAAAGAATATATCCCTAAAAACATAAGACATTTCACAGAAGAGCACACCAATCAACCCATGTCTAGCTCTGGCTTTGTGAAGAGCATTGTAGGTACTTTTTATGGTTCTCTTAAAGCCCATGCTAAATTCTAAATAGTGCTAACTGCCCTTCAGTACACTTTTTAATCTAAAATATTACACTTATTTATATATTTGGCCAATACACACTCTTTTGTTCTGCCTGTTTACCATCCTCTGTTTAACTTGGCATTTATTTTGGTCTCCAAACTACATCTTTCTTATTTGAAGGGATTCCTTAGTTCTAGAATTCTGAGATTTGATGAAAAGGTATAAGTTTAACTTTTCACAGCTTCCATTGTATTTTAGACTTTTCAGCCTTCATCTTTTCCACTGAAAGCGTGTTTTTTTCTTTTAGTTTGTTCTCATATGAATGTTGTTTTATCAGCTTTATTGTTTTGGTTTATTTCATTTAGACTGTTGCTTCTTTGTAGTTGTATCAAAGTGAAGCACCCCAGACTACTGATAATGGATGCATAGAAGTTTTATAGAAGTAGCATGGTAATGTTCTTATTCATTTTCAGAAACTTTCTCAATAATACTAAGATTTTGTTAGTTTTTTCTATTTTTTTTAGTTTTAGAAGTGTCCTGGGTTGATATGTTCTGAGAGTTATTAAAACTAATTTCATAACCTTTTGCCTAACCTATTTTCATAACCTATGACAAATAATAGTTCCCTCATATAGGTACATTAGTATTTTATATTATCATGATTTATTCTATGCACTTATCCACATTAGAGTTTGACATTTGTTTCATACCCTCACTAAACTTTGCAAGATCACCATGAAGTTTTTAGCATTCAGTTCAGCATTTTACTTCCTGAAATTGCTTAGGAAGGATTAAGAAATAGGCAATTTTTTTCCACTCATTTCAAATCATAGGAAATAATGAAAACTCAAGACTCATCCTGAAATAATATTTTAGGAGAATATTGGATAAAATGGAAAATGCTCACGATATATTACTAAGTGGGAGACTGAAATATGTATATAGTATTTTCCGATTGTATGGGAGGTGTATATTTCTTTATACATATATATGCATAGGAAAAATAAATTTACTGAACATAAAAATGCTAAACATGGCTTTCCCTGAATGTTAACATTACAGCAGTATATTATATTCTGATATGCTTTGTTTTCCATAGTTAAGATATATGTTTGATAATCACAAAAAAATCAATCTAGTCTAGATACATGTAGCTCAAGGATATCACTACCAAATTATACCTTATATAATGGCTCCTCTATTTTCAATCTCTCAATTAGTAATTTCTTTATCATTATTCAGATTTGGGTTTTTTATTTGTGTGGTTGAAATTTCTGAAGGTGTGGAATCTTCTCAAAACTTCTCTGGAAATCTAAAATTGTACTCACAAGTGGGTATGTTCCCCAAAAACAACAGACTCCTCCAGAATAGTCAAGCCTGACTTCCAGTAGAAAGCATGCTGCTTCCCCACCTGGTTATCTTTATTTTTGTGTTTCTGTGATTTTTATTTCACCAGTTTGTCTCATATGAAAGAGAACATTACCTGCTTAGACATCTTCATACCCCCTGTGGCTATTATACTCTTTATACTAGTTTCTGTTTTCCCCCCTCTAGTATTTATCTGTGGTTGCAATTCCACTTTACAAATTGAGCAGCCAAAGAATAGATGTATTTGAGTACTTTCTGGTTAGACTATCAGAGTTAATCATATTTTATATCTTTTATAGAACAGTTGCTCCCCTTAGACTTCTCATGACATAGTTCCTTTCGACAATACATTAGCAGGTTGGGTGTGTTTCCTTTTTTAAAATGAGTTACCAAGCTATTTTATTATAGGAAACGGTCTTTTCTTTTCATCCCAAAGTCTTATCTATATATGCAGTCCCAGTATTCTGCCAATTTTTAATGTATAATTGAAATTCCATATTAATTGCTTCTTTTTTTCCATTAAAACCATTTGCACTTAAATATGTCAATACTTACTGGATCTGAATGTATTAGAACTTGCAATTTCTGTAAGTAAAAATGTTTCCAACAAAGTGATGATCTATCTCTGCAGCCCTTAATGGTCTAAATTAACAATATAATCATAAAAATTTATCAAGTCAAGCTTAATTTTAATTATTATTTTACATTTAATTTGTAGACTTGAATCATCTTATTCGCCTTCTATTAAAGAACCAGAAAGGAAAAGAAAAGAGCTGTTTTCAGTGATACAGGATGAACCAAATCATGAAAAAGAATTGAACAAGGTATGGAAAATAATGAGCTCCATTCTTTCAGGTAGATGTGAACTCTATATACAAAGGGAGTAAAAAAAAGTCTTTGTTCTCACTTTCTTTGTTTTCCTTCTGTATTTTTTCATAAGGTGATAATCTACCAAGCTGCTAATTCCAACATTTTTCTGTGTGAGACTACAAAAAACACAAACCTTAAGTTATTGCTTTGCTACTGGGAGACTGCCCATGAAACGTGGAGGGCGGAGGGCGGGAGGATCCATGATAGGTGGCTTATTTCAAGAAAGTTGAGAGCACAGACTCTGGTGCTCAACCATACACATAAGCTTGGAGAAGTTTCCGGTGCAAGTTACCCAAGCCGCATTTGTAAGATGGGGATAATTGGTACCTACCTCATAAGTTTATGATGAGGATTAAGTGAGTTAATAATAGCTGTTACTTAAATAGCAGTTACCGTGTACCAGGAAATGTGCACCCACATTTTGTCATTGAACACCTAACATGTACCAAGAACTCTGCTGGAGCTAGACGTACAAGGATGAGTAAGTTCTGGGCGCTGTCCTTACTCTCCTACAAAGAGTATTATTCTCTCCTCCCTCTAATACATTCCAGTAATGGACTTCTTTCTATGAACTTATCATAACTACTATCCACCTCTCTGGTCTTTAGGTTTGAGGATCAGGCAGAATATTTAATGCTATAAAATCTAAACAATTAAAAGTTAAATAAACCTGAGTGTGGCTTTGAATTATCAATGAGTGCACTGCATAGTGCTTGACACACAGTAAATGAAAATAAATACCTAGAGAATTAGTTAATGTTAAGGCTAAACTTTCCCATAAATATACAGGGTTATAAATTCAGTTGTTGTTTGTACAGATTTAAAAAACATTTATTGAGTATCTAGGAGAACTATAGCTATTCTGCTAATTTCTATAGGAAATACAATCATATGAAAGACATGTACTGTCTGCCAAAGAGTTGACTGTAAGAGAACTAATAGAGGTTAAGCATAGAAAAGCTGTTATGAATCAATGATCATTTTTTATATATTTTGAACTCTTTGATGCCATATAATCTCACAAAACTTATTTTACTGATTTAAAAATATAACTTTAAAAAACTCTTTTCTACTGGTGTCTCTGGTGAATGATAAAAGATTGTTAAAGCCACCTAAAGTATAGTTACATGATTCTTAACCTCAAAGATTTAGATAAAGTAATAAAAATTTGAGTAATATAAATAATCTACGGATTTTGCACAGTTTTGACATAGTGGTACAGAATATGAGGCACAAATTTCTTTATAGGCATAAAACAGTAACAAATGAATTTTATATAATTAGCTTCCAAGAATTGTTTCTGGAGAGCATTTTCATTCTCTTGTAATAAAACTAACAAGAGCTATGTATTATGAATCTTGCAAGTATATTATTTCTTTTCCTTTTTTCTAACATAAAACTGCTTTAATCATTTATTTTATGATAAAATTCACATTTTCAATAAACCAAAAGTCATTTGGAGCTCAGGTAAATTAGTTTCTTCTTTCACTAAGAAAGAAGCTTTGCAGTATAGTATGTTGTGTTAATATCTAAACACTATGAAAATAATAAAAATAGTTTACTCCTTTATCACAGTAGTATATTCATTTTTTTACATTTTAAAAGTTCCAGTTTAAGTGGAACATGTTAAACTATACCATGGGAATGCAATCAGCAAAATCCGTACTAGGACAAACTACACATTGACTCTGTTATTTCATCAAATAAATTGGGAGGAAAAAGCTTGGAGACAGAAAAGATTAATGGAGACTTGTAATATTGTCCTCCAGGTTAGGATATTTGTACTCATGTTTCTTAGTCTGCGCCTCATTCTCTTTCCTGTGAGTCTTTTTTTTTTTTTCATCTATTAAATGATGAGGTTCGATCTTGTGATTTCTAAGGTCATATACAACTGTGAATCTCTAAAAATGTTGGTAATATGAATAAAATCAGCTGAAGTGTTGGTAGCATAAAGCCTGATGGTGGATCACATTTGCCTCTGAACATGTGTACTTTCCATGTAAGTTCACTGCATTCTAGGTGCCATCCCCTATACAGCTTTTTCCAATCTCAGTCAAGGTGGCATCCCCTAAAACCCAGATTTTTCCAATCTCTCTGTATGGATCAACCTCTAAAACCCTGGTTTTTCCAAATGTGAATTACCCTCCACACCTTTCGGGGCTCTTCCCACAGAGGTTGCAGAGCACAATAGTTCACAGATCCTGGAATTAGACTGCCTTTCACAAGAAATGTGATGTGAAAAGTTATACACTTTAATTTTCTAATCTGCTAAATAGAGTAACCTGCAAGAGAGAGAGACCTTGTGGGGATTAAATGAGATAATGCATTTAAAGTACTTAGAACACACAAAAAGAGAGGCTTTAAAAAGATATATACGAACCAGTCCCAATGAATGGATCATATTTAGATCCTAATTCAATTAAATTTAAACAACATTTATTATATTTTTGAGACAACTTTACATTTGAATACTGCCTAGATACTTGATGATGTTCAGGAATTGTTAACTTTTAAAGACATTGTAATATTCTGGCTACATTTAAAAAGAGAGAGCCCTTATTCTTTTAAAGATATATAAAGGTGAAATGAAAAGAAAATCAATTTTTAAAAAGTACCCTGGAAAAAATTTGTTTCTTTTGTGGATAGCCTCTTCTTAACTCTCCAGCCTTATTTCTCAGAGCACTCTAAGTCATAGCCACACCAAACTCCTTTTAGCTCACTGAGTGTGCCATTGCTCTGTCACTCCCATGCTTTCATTCACTGAGCTCGTTGCCTGAGAGCAGCTCCTCCTCTTCCTCCTCCCTCTCCCACTCCCCTCTCCCTCCTCCCCCCTTCCCCCTCCTCCTCCTCCTCCCTCCTTCTCCTTCTCCTTCTTTTTCTTCTTCAAGAAAGGATCCCACTGTGTCATTCAGGATGGAATACAGTGGTGCAATCAGGGTCCACTGCAACCTAGACCTCCTAGGCTCAAGGGATCCTCCCACCCCAGTGCCCCTTCCACTTGAGTAACTGATACTGCATGCACATGCCACCACAGCCAGCTAATGTTTTTACATTTTGTATAGCATCTCTATATTCTATTTTGTTTTATGCCCTTTTTTTTTTTTTTTTTTTTTTGAGACAGGGCACGATCTCAGCTCACTGCACTGCAACCTCCGCCTCCTAGATTACAGCCATCCTTCCCACCTCAACTTCCAGCACAGCCACCATGTCCAGCTAGAGTATCTCTGTCTTCTAACTGGCATTCATTTGTCCTTCAGTTTTGGGTCTGATAATTCTTCCTCTGGGAATTCTATCCTGGATATACCTAGGCTGCATTAAACACCCTGCCACTACATACTGCTGACATTGATTGCTACACTGTGCTGTAATTGGTTATTTTTCTGTTTCCCCCAATGGACTATGACTTTTTTTTTTTTGGTTGATGATTATGTACTTTAAGTCTCAAGAATTAGAAACAGTAAGTGGTTTTTTGAAAGATGCTAAGAGGCTGGACCAAGAAAGCATTGTAAAGATGGAGAGCAGAGGCAAGACTTAAAAGAGGTTGAAATAGAATGTACAGAATTCATTGCCTGACCAGGTTTGGGAGGACAAGGGTGGAGAGGAGCCAGAGACAATCCAGAGGTTTCTAACATGGAAGCTTAGCCAAGATTCAGAATATAGGAGGCTTAACGCAGGGAAGTGAAGAGCTTTCATGAAGACATTGAAGTTTACTGGAATGTGATTCTGAAAAACAAAATGTTAAGTTACAAATAGTACAGCCTATTTTAGTATTTAAAAAAGCACTGAATTTAAAATCAAGAGTCCTAGATTCTAGCCCCAGCTCTGCTGATTATTAGCTTTATGACTTTGAGCAAGTCACGTAATCATTTTAAGCCAATTTTTCTTCTCCTTGAAAATGCTTGGTAATACTTTCTTCACCTTCCTTTCAAAGTGGTTATCAAAGTAGTATCAGTCAAAGGTGATGGTTTGCATAAACAGAAAATAGAGGAGAGAAATAAAGTGTTGGAATCAGAAGGAAAAAAGGTAATGAATCATTATTATTTGTTTTTAATTTAGCATTGATCAGAAAAGGAGGGTAAAGTGGGCCCTGCCAAAGTTTCAGAATAGGAGGACTGAAAATATGGCCAGTAAAAGTCTTAAGCTATTCTATAAATAAAAGGATTCATTAATATTTCCAGTCTCTATCTGCTGCAGGTAAGAAGCCAACTCCAACAGGAGGAAGAGTACCATAGCTCTGAGCAGGAAAGAATGAGGAATGAAATCTCTGACCTAACAGAAGAGCTTCATCAGAAGGAGATCACTATAGCAACTGTCATGAAGAAAGCTGCCCTTCTGGAAAAACAGTTAAAAATGGAATTAGAAATAAAAGAAAAAATGTTAGCAAAACAACAGGTATGCAAGCAGGCAGAATAGCACCTGTCCAGGGCACACTCTTGCTCGGTGACAAGAGTAGCCTTCATTATCAACTAATGAAAACATTGCATTTCTTGGTATTATTTCTGAGAGACTAGCTTTACAGAAATGCTTTGTGGTGTTACGAAAACCTTTGAGATAACACAAAGGGTCACAAAAAAAAAAAAAAGGACTAGGGAAATGACAGTGCTAGACAATTTCATTAAATCTCTTCTTTCATTTTCTTATATATTCTGATCACCACCCACAGTACATTCTAATGAAATATTTCTTTCTATTTTTTCTGTATTTTTCTTCCATTAACATTTTTATCTTAAAAAAAAAAAGTCTCTATTCCTGCTCTTCCTCAACACTTCCCACCCCTCCCCCCATTTCATGTATTTCTTTCAGGGTTTTTACAAATGGATGTTGAAAGCTGTTCATATTTATGAACATGCACTCAGTGCACAGCATGGTGCATGGGGAAAAATAATAGAAATTGTAACATTCTCCTGTTAAAGTACTACAGGTAACTTCTACATCCTTCCTTTCCTTCCTGCCTGCCTACTTATTTTTTACATTCCTCCATCCCTTACTCATGATCAAATTGATGGCCTACTACTGAGAGCACAAGGGTTTATCTGCCTTTTTAACCCCAAATCTAAAGGTTTTGAGAGCATCATTTAATAATTTTCTAGGCATATGAGGGTCACTTCACAAATAGCATGACTATTTAAATCGTGTGAATTATGAAAACAGAAAAAATTTAGCCTTTGCTAAATTTTTATAAGTCTTAAACCATGATTAATTGGTGCAAAACACAGGAAAACAGCACAGATTGGATAATCACTTTGGTTGTACCTGTATAGGGAGGATATTTTACAGGTGTTAACAATGATCGGGGTAGTTGGATTATAAATAATTTTTATTTTCACCTTTATATTTTTGTACGTTTTCTAGGTTTTGTCAATGAGCATATAATTAGTAATTTACAAAAGTAAATTTAAGGCAGGTGTTTTATGCAGAAATGAGTCCAAATAAAAGGACAGATACAATATCCAAGTCCTGAAAAGTGGAATAAGTCAGGGAAAGATAAAATAGACAAAATGAAGTAGTCACTAAAAAAGAAGGAATTTTGGCAGAAATATCAGAAATAACAAAATTAAACGTGAAAGTTATGTACTGCCTATTGTAAAAATCAGGTGTTGAATAAATTTAATGGACAGTTATTCAAACTTTTTTTAACATTTGCTTTTTCTGGTGACAATTTGCATACAATAGGAAATAGAAATGAGAAATAGAATTTTGGAATTGGAGGACAAAAGTAAGTGAATCATTATTGAAAGTATATGTTTTTAGTTTAGCATTGATCAGAAAAAGACATAAACTGATGCCTGCCAGAGATAAGAGAACTAAATAAGAATACCTGATTGTTATTGATCATACCCAAGAAGTGTTTCCCTTCTTTACACTTAGAAAATATTTGTATTCACAAAACAAAATATTAATAGAATTATGAGTTTTTATTATGAATTTTACATTTGCCTTATATCTGCTAATTTCAGGTCTCAGATATGAGATATAAAGCTGTCAGAACTGAAAACACACATCTAAAAGGAATGATGGGAGATTTAGACCCTGAACGATACATGGTAATATGCCGACATCATTCAATAAATTGAACAAAGAGATTACTGAATTGGTCATGATTAACCCAGACATCATTTATTGAGTACTTGCTGTGTGTTAGACATGAAGGAGTTGGACAGTAAATTATCTTGCACTTCAGTTGAGATTACTTTTATCCTCAGGCTAGAACATTAGAATGCCTAGTTTTCTCCCTTGTTCTTTGGTTGGATTAGGCTCAGTTCTGATCATTTCCCTCAAATATGCCAAGCATGCTATTTCCTTGCTTTTGTTCTTGCTGTTGCCTTTGAAATCCTATATTCTGCATGGCCTGATTCAACTGCCAATATTCCCCTCAACGAAGCCACCCCTGACACCCTAGTCAGAATGAATGCCACATTTGGTTTGTATTTTTTCTGACTTGTTTTGTTGCTTGTCACTTTCCCAGTGGATGACAAACAGGGAACCATGTCTTACTGGTGTTTGTTTCACCAGTACCTCACATCCTCAGGCATAAAGGAAGTGTTCAATGAGTGTTTGTTGATTAAAAAGAGGGATAAATAAATGAATATTGAGGATAAGGACTTCTGGTTTTAACCAGCAGCTCTATAGGTTTACACCAAGGAACTTAAACAGGCTCTGTGCATCTCATTTTAACTGTTTAATGTAACAGTAGAAAGTTAATCTTTATATGAGAATTTTTATTTATTGAATGACTGAAATAGCATTGTTACTTGTTTATCATTTATTTGCTCTGAGAAAATTCTAAAATAATTTTCTACCATATGAGGAATAGAAAGGATAAAAGATGAATATGGTAATTACTTAATCAGGCCTGTTTCCTTAGCTATAAAATGAGGGAATTGAATTAGGCATTCTCCACTGGCCCTCCTTAAGCTATGATACTATATTTCTGTGGTATTATGTACTTGTTCTCATAATGGTCCATATTATAGCATCAGAAGAGTAGAAACATTCTGGAAGCATTCTGTCTTCTTCTTTGGGTGTGGTAAATGGATCCTGTGATTGGAGTACAGATGGATAAAAAGTAAGGCATATGTGATTTTCCTATTTGTTACATTAAAAAAGCCTGTGTGTCATCTATGATATTTTTATTTCTAAATGCTGAACACACAATAAGTTAAATCAGATCCTGCCTCCATGAGTGCCTTTTTCACTCACAAAATGGTATTTGTATTTTTTTACATTTCAATCTGAAAGTTTTTAAGTTGTATATTTGGGTCATCACAGCCCCCACTGAGCCTACTTCATTCTGGCTCCTTTAGGCCTTTGACTTTCTTTGTTCACCTTTTTTGTGTTTTTAAGAATTAGCAGACACAGAGATGTATAAAGAAGCAGCTAATGATCCACAACCCTATCCCAATCCCAGTTTGGACTCCAAAGATACCCAGCGTTAACAAATTAGTGTTTGTTGCAGCATTCTGTTAACTTTTTCCTCACATATGCACACAATAAGGAGGAGATGGGTTGAATGTTCTTTTACAGAAATAAATGTATAATATATACGCTATTCCCAAACTGCCTTTTGACAGTCCATGGACATCTCTACAAGTCAGTAGATAAACATCCTTTTATTTTTCCTAATTTTTTAGAAAAAAATGTATGTTCATATAAGTTATAATTTTTATAAATGTAATCATAACTTACATAGGCCAATTTTAGTACAGTCATTTTGTTGTTGCTGCTTGTTTCACCCCTCCCTCTTTTCTCCAATCATATACCCACATTATACTGTTCCTCCAGATGATACATGTTAACTACTTGGTATGTGTTATTTTTCACTTTTTCATATATATACATATAGTCATATAGTACCTATTTGGGGATTTTATCACCTTTTTAAAGTTGAATCATAACATATACTTCTTGTTTTGTTCACTCAACTGTGTCCCTTGGAATCTTTCCAAGTCAACTGATTTAAGTCTATTTTATTTTTACAATTACTTGATAATAATCCATGCTGTGTATCAAAATTTATTAAACTATTTTTATAGTTATTTCAGACACAATTTATTCAATGCTGTTTTCAGGTTTGTGTAGGCACACTGTATGAACACATGATGAAATCAGCTAACGTCGCCTTTGTCAGAATGCATCCTCATCATTAAATGACACATGACCGATTATTGATTATAATTTTCTAGGTAGCCATACATTATATTGATATTTTATGTTGATGATATTGTATTTTCTATTGATAGAAAAAGGACTAGAAAGATATAAATGTTAACAGCAGTTATCACTGAGTGTTGGTAGTATAGAATATTTATTTTGTTCTTAATACCTGTATTTTCTATAAGGACATATAAATGATTTTATGTGCCCATATGTTAATTAATACACACCCATGTCTTAATCAGAAGAAAAATTCTTCTAAAATTGAAATGCATATCATTTCTAGTTTCATTATTAATCGATACTAGAAGGTATATCCTATGAACACACAAAAAAAACTTGTAGTCTAGCTAATTTGTTCTATTAGGTTGGTGCAAAAGTAATTGCAGTTTTGCCATTTAACGTAATGGCAAAGCTGCAATTACTTTTGCACCATCCTAAGTAGATACAGAGAGCAATACTGCATAGAGTAAACCTTTTCTGTTTTGGAGCATGGGCAGTATTGTATATATTGCAACATCCAACAGTGGGGATGATGCAATACATACATCATTGCAGTGTGTTCCACGGCAGCTATCCCTGGGTATCTGTTTGTTGTGAGGCAGTAAAGGGGTGGAAAGGAGCATTTAAAGTGGGCAAGAGTAGAGCCACATCACTCAGCTCAAATGAAAGGGACTTTCCAGCACAAGTCTCCAAACAGAAAATATTCATTACTTATAAGGGATAGTTTATTCAATGATAGTTTATTTCATTCTCCAGAGTATGGACTTCACTAACAGGCAACATTCAATGCATACATCTATTAATAAACTGGAATATGAGAATGAAAGGCTCCGAAATGATCTTGCAAAACTTCATGTCAATGGAAAATCAACACGGACAAATCAAAACACCTATGAAGAAACAGGAAGATATGCCTATCAAAGCCAAATAAAAGTGGAAAAAAATGAAGAGAGGTATGCTAGCTCCATTATATAAGGGTGTAAGTTTAAAAACATGTAATTAAAATTTATTTTTAAAGAATTCAAATTATAACTTTTCATACTTTCTCTTCTGTGATTTAGAATTTATTTTATAATGATAATGCAGTAGGCTAGATAAATTGCTCTATAAGAAATTGTTGTGTCAATAGCTTTCAAAATATACTAGTGAAATGGGTGGAGTGCTACAGTGGATTTTAGCTTGTTAGTCACTGCAGATCATTTTTGGAAGCTGAGGTGGTATATAAAATATACAGATAAGTAATTTTACTTTTGATGTCATGGGAACAGAGAAGAGTAGATTTTAATATGTTAGGTATATTGTTCAAACAAAATAGAAAATATAGGAACATGTCACTTCTCACCTACCTTCAATAATAGATACACTTTCTTTTTTTTTTTGGTTTTTGGGTTTTTTCTTGTTTGTTGTTTTTGAGACACAGTCTTGCTCTGTTGCCCAGACTGGAGTGCAATGGCACAATCTTGGCTCACTCCAACTTCTACCTCCCAGGTTTGAGTGATTCTCATGCCTCAACCTCCAGAGTAGCTGGGACTACAGGCGCCCACCACCACAGCTGGCTAATTTTTGTATTTTTAGTAGAGACGAGGTTTCACTATGTTGGCCAGGCTGGTCTCGAACTCCTGATCTCAAGTGATCCACCTCCCTCAGCCTCCCAAAGTACTGAGATTACTGGTGTGAACCACCGCACCCGGCCAACACATACACTTTCTACTGACATTCTAGCACTGGCAACAAATTTTGTCATTTTATAAGGAAGGAATCTATGGATGTATAAGAGGTTTTCTCCAAATGAAGAGTATGGAAAACAATATCTGCTGCCCACATTATTCCCATGCTCTTTAAAAGGTCTTATTCAAATTAAAATATATCAACCATGAAAAAAGGCTAATTTGTTCAACTTTAAAAAAACATTTTTGGAGTCATAACTGTCTCTGAAGGCCTTTCACTGTTTTCCCAAACTTGGAAAATGCTGAACAAAATAAGCAAGTTTCTTTTACACAGTATTTATCATAACCATTCGTATGTTAACTTACATTGTGAGTGTCCAACTAGGGATATGCTATGTAGGACTCCCCAAACATCTTTGATATGAATTTTTTATTTCATAGTGCCAAGAAATGGTGGATTAGTAGATTCAGACCCAACTTCATTACAACATTTGCTCAGAAGCTCATAATATTTAGCATGAAAAATCTTATATATTATTTTCATATAACAGAATTAATATTTACAGCCCCAGAAAATTTGCTTAACCTTTGTCACGCTTGATATGCTATCTGACAAACAAGGTTAATAATTGTAGGATTTTAGTGAGGATCATAGGAGAAAAAAACAGATAAAACTTAATAGTTCCATGAATGTTAGCCATTATTACTAAGAAAATTGTTAGTATTTATAATAATATTAATATTTATCCCACAACTTATGATACCTAAAAGTATATTTTGGCAAATAGACAAATGGCTGAATCTGACATAGCCTCAAAGATATTTCTGTGGGGAGAGGTTATGCCAGCCTCATCTTTTTAACTAAGCATACTCAGCTCTACAGTAATTTTTTAATATTAAAAAATATATGTTCAACATAAAACAGATGTTCAGCATTCTTATGGGTATAGTACATCTCCCTCCTACTTTCAGCAGTTCATCCATGTATATATTAGAAAGATATATTGTAACACCATGCAAGAAACAGTAACCATTCAAAAATACCCCTTTTCAGGTAGTTAAAGAACCGAATGAAGGATGACTGGCTGTGACCCCTAAAAAAGCATCATGGTGGGGTACTGTGGTGGGATGTTGGTAGTGGCAGCAGATAAAAGCAGTATAGGAAGGATGAAAGAGTTCAATGGGCACCGCCATGGAACAGTTAAATGTGTCCATGTGAGGATCTGTCCAAAGGAGTGTAATCTTGATTTTGGTGTAAGAATATATGTTCTAATATGGAATAAATAAGCTATACAGAGTACTCTCCTACTATATGGATTCATTCTTCATAGTTCAAATTATGACTCCCATGTACTGTATATAGTCCCCTCATTGCAAGAGAAAAGCAAGCCCATGAAGACACTATAAAGGGTCATCTGCGTATGTTAGTCACTGATCTGTATTGAGCACCCATTGAGAACAGAACACTATTTCCTATTTGTGCTAGGTGGGAATAACTTTGAAAGCTTTAGATGGAGGTACCAAATGTTGTTATTTAAACAAAAAGACAGATACTCTGCCTTTTATTATTTTTAGAAAGTATTTTTACTGTTTGGATTGCCCTCTTATTTCTCTTTGTCAGGCAGTACAGAATGTGTTAAAAGTATCTAACAAAAACAAGACAGTAGGGGACACAAAAAGCAACATAAGAGGTAAAATGCTCAGCAGGAGACTATCTTAATAAGCAGTTAAGGCTACTATTCCTGCTGCAAAGCCTTGTGTCCTGCCAGTTTCATTTGTTGAAAATTTCATTAAATTTGTTTTAATGCCTTGTCTGATTTCAGTGTTCTCCAGTGACCTGGTTTTTAAAAGAAACAGCATTTCAAATGTTCTGAATAAATTATTGCCATATAAAACCTACTATGGGGAAGAGTTGTTGAGATGCAAAGACACTGTGAACTCACCAGTGAAGAACTGCAAAGCAGATATCTCTCTGTTAATGTTAGCAAGTGAAAAATGAAATCATCTTTCTTTCCCTCACAGCACAGCTCAATGAAGTGAAATAGTAAAAAAAAAAAAAAAAATATATATATATATATATATATATATATATATGTAAATGTAAATATTTGTTAGGCAAAAGTTAATCAAACAATACAAATTATCTTTACATATCAGTGGCTAATGCAGTAAGATCTTATTAAAGTATTTGAGAAAGGAAAAAGGTTTTAGGTAAAAGTATATGAACAAAATGTTCCACAAAATTTGAAGATCCATAGTCTAATTTTAAGGCAATTCTTGCCTTTAACTGAGGAACATTTGTATAATACATTCTTAAAATAACCTTTTATTCACTGAAGCAACTCAGTTTTGTTGTTGTTTTTCACTCCTGTTCAAAGTGATACATTTTTAATGCTCACTCACTTAAAATGTGAAGCATTTTAGGATATTCCAAAGTATTTGCTTTCCAATAAGACAGTTACTTGGCACTTTCTTAAAAAAATATGAGTGAGAGTAATGGCTTGTTCATAAAGGATTACTCAGAATTTCGTCACCACTAGGCCTGCTTTATAAGAGCTCCTGAAAGAAGCACTAAACATAGAAAGGAACAACCAGTACCAGCCACTCCAAAAACATACCAAATGGTAAAGAGCATTGACAAAATGAAGAAACTGCATTAACAGGCAAAAACAACCAGCTAGCATCAAAATGGCAGAATCCAATTCACACATAACAATATTAACCCTAAATGTAAATGGGCTAAATGCCCCAATCAAAAGACACAGACTGGCAAATTGGATAAAAAGTCAAAACTCATCAGTGTGCTGTATCCAGGAAACCCATCTCACATGCAAGGATACACAAAGGCTCAAAATAAAGGGATGGAGGAGGATTTACCAAGCAAATGGAGAGCAAAAAAAAGCAGGAGTTGCAATCCTAGTCTCTGATAAAATAGACTTTAAAGCAACAAAGATCAAAAGAGACAAAGAAGGGCATTACATAATGGTAAAAGGATCAATGCAACAAGAAGAGCTAACTATCCTAAATATATATGCACCCAATACAGGAGCACCCAGATACATAAAGCAAGTTCTTAATTGACTTACAAACAGACTTAGACTCCCACACAATAATAGTGGGAGACTTTAACACTCCACTGTCAATATTAGACAGATCAACAAGACAGAAAATTAACAAGGCTATCCAGGACTTGAACTCAAATCTGGACCAAGTGAACCTAATAGACATTTACAGAACTCTTCACACCAAATCCACAGAATATACATTCTTCTTAGTACCACATCACACCTACTCTAAAATAGACCATATAATTGGAAGTAAATCACTCCTCAGCAAATGCAAAACAATGGAAATCACAGCAAATAGTCTCTCAGACCACAGTGCAATTAAGTTAGATCAGAATTCAGAAACTAAATCAGAACCGCACAGCTTCATGGAAACTGAAAAACTGGTTCTTGAATGTTGACTGGATAAACAATGAAATAAAGGCAGAAATAAAGATGTTCTTCGAAACCAACGAGAATGAAGACACAACATACCAGAATCTCTGGGACACATTTAAAGCAGTGTCTAGAGGAAAATATATAGCAATAAATGCCCACATGAGAAGCAAGGAAGTATCTAAAAGTGACACCCTATTGTCAAAACTGAAAGAGCTAGAGGAGCAAGGTCAAAAAAACTCAAAACCTAGCAGAAGACAAGAAATAACTAAGATCAGAGCAGAACAGGAGACAGAGACACAAAAAAACCTTCAAAAAATCAATAAATCCAGGAGCTAGTTTTTCAAAAGAGATCAACAAAATAGACCACTAGCCAGATTAATAAAAAAGAAAAAAGAGAATAATCAAATAGATGCAGTAAAAAAGGATAAAGGGGATATCACCACAGATTCCACAGAAATACAAACCACGATCAGATATTACTATAAACAACTCCATGCAAGTAACCAGTAAACCTAGAAGAAATGGATAAATTCCTGGACACTTGCATCCTCCCAAGCCTAAACCAGGAAGAAGTCAAAACCCTGAATAGACCAATAACAAGGGCTGAAGTTGAGGGAGAAATTAATAGCCTACTATCCAAAAAAAGCCCAGGTCCAGATGGGTTCACAGCCAAATTCTACCAGGCATACAAAGAGGAGCTGGTACCACTCCTTCTGAAAATACTCCAAACAATCCAAAAAGAGGGAATCCTTCCCAAATCATTTTATGAGACCAACATCATCCTGATACCAAAACCCGGCAGAGACCCAACAAGAAAAGAGAACTTCAGGCCAATATTCATGA